TAGAAACTTTCACTAGCCAGTAGGTGATACCCGAGAGCGCAGGAACGCTGAATTTGAATGGGCAAGGTTGAGCGTGGGCAGAAGGTCATTACGCTAAAATTTCAGCTTCATAGATTCCGCGGTTCCCGAGATATTAATTTACCCGTAAAAAACATTCACGGGGCCATATGTGTTACCCGCGGGTACGAGGAAGCTGGATTTAAATTTTGCGGGGTCACACATGGGTGGGGAACGTTCTCCTAAATTTTCAGCTTCCTGGCTTTTGTAGTTCCCGAGTTGAAAGTTGCGGACAAGTTGCTGCGGACACACACACGCACACACACAAACACATACACAGACAGCCCCGTGACAATGTGCGTTTTGTACTGCTATTACACAGCACAAAACGCATAAAAAACTGGGTTGATCATATCGGCCGATTAAGAAATCTGGATTATATTGCAGTGTGAAATGCACAGTAAAATGTCATTCTTAAAACGGATCGATTCATTCGAATGTCTGTATGAAGTTTTCGAAACGTGGTAAGCTCAAAATAGGGAGATATGGAATTGCTAACTACAACAGCGAGAATGAGCTTGACGAGGAAGTTACAGCATAAGTGTTTGTTGATTGAATGAATTTCAGGTCTTCAGTGCAGTGATATGTCCTTGCGTAGTCGTCTGGCAATGGTAAATACCACAACAGTGCAAATTGCTCCGCGTCCGTACACACCCGATGAGACGAATTCGATCAAATCGTGCTGCTTTTTAGCGCATGCAAAGTCGCAAGAAATTCTGCAGACTGCGCGGCAAAGTGTGAAGAATCGAAAAGTGCACTCGGCCAGTGAGCACGGCTCTCTAATGCAGCTTATCAAGCCTGCTAGCGATTTGCTTCGACCACCACATCCGTTTTTATTATCACGGGTTTGCTTTTAGCATTTTTTGGTCTCATAAGGTTTTGGCCTCAAAAATTGTTTATGTAAGTCTTGTTTTTTCCTATTATTTAATAAAAATGGATAGCTCTTCTCGTGTAAAAATCATTGGCGAGGCGCACCAGGCGGACCCGCACGATCATGCGTTTTTGCAGTATTTCGTGTTGTTGCGACTGATTGCGAAAGAGTAGGAATGGGAATTAAGTGATTATTTCCAGCGTTCCATTAGGGGACGTTCGAAAATACTTGTGATTGTTTTTTCTTTACCGATGCAAAGTTATTTTATCTCAGTCGATGAATCTTGTCCGTCGGCCGACCACTTTTTTAAACGTTTTTCCTGTTATCAAATATTATCTAATGTATTACTAAAGGGTGGGGTAAATATCTTTCCATCCCGCTCCCCCTTCTCCCCAACAAGTTCACTTCGAGTCCCTTCGGACGTACGGGTCGGTTGCCCGCGGCAGGTCCTACGCATCTTCCACTACAATAGACTCCGCCACAGCAACCTCCGACACAGCAGCATCGACACAGCAGCCTCGACACAACAACCTCGGCACACTAACCTCGAGGCGCCAGCATCGACACCAGCGTCGTCACCAGCCTCGATACTTCGGCACCAGCCTCGACACCTCAACACCAGCCCCGACACTAATTTCGACCTGATCTCGCGCTCTGTACGCGGAACTACTGTAGCAAAATACTCATTCTCCTGATCGGATCTAGAATTCGAGCTCGGCAACTTGCGAAAAGGTTTGCAGTTATTGGGTTGAGCTTCCCGACCCTTCCTATAATAAGATCGCTTGGAATCCCAGTAGCGAATTTGTGACATATTGGTCCTCGAATTTCAGGAAGTCAGTTGTGTAACTGCGTTGCATTTGGAAACTTAGGGGATATTGAGGATCCATTCCGTTAAAATTTCAGCTTTCCCGTCTCCCGAATTAGCAGTTTTTCACCAGAAATTTTCATGGAGCTGAATTTAAAATCTTTAAGTTATACGTATGCTAGGTGCATCCCCTCAAAATTTTGGTGTCCCAGCTTTCCTGGTTCCGGGTCAGCGATACTTCCCCAAAAACTTTCACGAGGCCGTACGTGAGAACCACGCACACCTGGGGCTGTGTTTGAACACTTTAAGTTTTACGTAGACTGTGAACATCCCCTATCTCCGAAAGGCGATGTTTTATGTTAATATGATATATTTTTTATTTTGTGTATGAGCGATAGTGTGTGTTTTTTATGTTAAAACTACTTTATGTAGTTTTTGTGTAAAATATTATCTATTTTATCGCCAACTGTAAAACCGGCGACGTTTCCCGAGTCTCGTTTTTCTCATGTTTTTAATTCCTTTTAACGTTCCTGACGCCTGATCGCCGAAAGGCAACAAATTGCTTTTTACACCTTATAAAAGTCTTTGTATCTTACCTCCTGGTCTCTTAATCTTCGTCTTTTGCTCGTTCCAGCTACGTAACATCGTCTCGGTCAACGGCCTTCCT